TAACTCATATGGCTGTTGTAAGGGAAAACCAGTTACTCAACCCTGACTGGGTTGTATACAGTGCTGGTCCTACTCAAAGTAGACCCCACTGACATCAATGACCATGGCTAACTTAGGTCTCTTGATTTCAATGGATCTATTCTGCGTAGGCCTTAATTAGATACAACCCGTCTGAATAAGAAAAGTGCTTCTGAATCAGGCCAAAGGCAGATCTTATCCAACATCCTTTTCCCACAGTGGCCACCCAGATTTTTCTGTGAATCCCAAACGCAGGAAAAGCGTGTAGCAGTACTCTCACAGAATACAAATATGGTAATTCCCACATTAAATAATGTGTGATGGGATACAGCTTTATAATTTAGGGTGAAAGATAACTCAGGGGAGGTGGACATGGAGTAAGAGTTCCATTCTAGGCCCCATCTGCACTATACATCTGAAGCAGTATCATACCACTTTAAACAGACATGGTGTTTTTTTTTTTTAAAGGAAGGTATCTTTTTCCATATGTGGTGGACTTGTAAAGAGTTAAAGGCTTTTTGTGAAATGATATATAGTAAGTTAAAGAAAATGTTTAAAAACACTTTTGTTAAAAAACTAGAAGCCTTTTTACTGGGTATAGTAGGTGAAGAGATACAAAAAAAAGAAGAAGATAAAAGACTGTATGCTACAACAGCGGCAAGAATCCTTTTAGCCCAAATATGGAAACATCAACAAGTACCAACGAAAGAAGAGTGGCAGGTGAAAATGATGGACTTTGTGGAACTGGCGAAGCTGACGGGAAAAATCCGAAACCAGCACGATCAAGTATTCCAAAAAGACTGGGGTAATTTATACAATATTTGAAAGATCATTGTAAGCAATTAACAACTTTAGTAGGGTTATCTGAAGGCTTCTAATGAGAAATTGATTACCTTTCTATATTTATTTAAATTTTGGGGTATTTAGTAAAGAGTTATATTAGAATGGGAAAATATATAAAATGCTGTAATATAAAGCTTAGATTTGAAAGCCAAGAGGTGGGAGGGAAGGAAGTCAACAGTCTCTAAAGAGCCAAAGAAGTAAAGTGGATAATAATGATGTGATTATATATGTTTAAATGGAAAAGTAATAAAAATTATTTTTTAAAAAAATAAAATAAACAGAATTTATTAAGGTATTGAAAAAAAATTAAACAGACATGGCTTCCATCAAAGAATCCTGGGAGTTGTGATTTGTTGAGGTGCTGAGAGTTGTCAGGTAATCCCTATTGTTCCTCACATAGCTACAGTCTACAGAATGGTTACAGGTAGGTAGCCGTGTTTCTCTGCCATAGTCGAAACAAAATTTAAAAATTCCTTCCAGTAGCACCTTAAAGACCAACTAAGTTTGTTATTGGTATGAGCTTTCATGTGCATGCACACTTCTTCTGTTTCAGTGTATCTGAAGAAGTGTGCATGCACACGAAAGCTCATACCAATAACAAACTTAGTTGGTCTCTAAGGTGCTACTGGAAGGAATTTTTTTTATTTTGTTTAGTCTACAGAATTGTTTAACAATCCTGGAGAACAGTAGCTCTGCGAGGGAAATAGGGATCGCTTATCAACTCTCAAGTGGGATGTGGGTGGCGCTGTGGTCTAAAAACCACTGAGCCTCTTGGACTTGCTGATCAGAAGGTCAGAGGTTTGAATCCCTGCAACGGGGTGAGCACCCGTTGCTCGGTCCCAGCTCCTGCCCATCTAGCAGTTTGAAAGCACATCAAAGTGCAAGTAGATAAATAGGTACCGCTCCGGCGGGAAGGTAAAAGGCGTTTCCATGCGCTGCACTGGTTTGCCAGAAGCAGCTTAGTCATGCTGGAAACATGACCCGGAAGCTGTACGCCAGCTCCCTCAGCCAATAAAGCAAGATGAGCGCCACAATCCCAGAGTCATCCGCGACTGGACCTAACAGTCTGGGGTCCTTTTACCTTTTTATCAACTCTCAGCATCCTTTAAAAACTACAGCTCCTAGAATTCTTTGGGGGAATCCATGCCTGTTTAAAGTGCTATGATACTGCTTTAAATCTGTGACATGAATGTGGCCTGTAGGTGAGCCAGGCAAGTATAAAGAAGGGCTCTGCGAATGGTAGGAGAGGGTGAAGTTCAGAGTGTCCACAGGTCTTCCACTCTCTCTGCAACTTGCGTCATCAATAAAGCCACAGCACGTCCCAACAAATGAGTCCGTCTTCCTTTGACCATGTGCTGGCCTCAGTCTATGTGTCAGCTCTTCCACAAATACAAGCTGTCAAACACTGCAAGCTGCCATCTGTCTAGAGATAGGCCCTCAAGATTTTTCTATTGCCTGGCAATTAATGCCAGTATAGCAGTCAGCAAGCGCTGAAGCAGCTCCTTAGATTTAAGAACCCCATTTTTCTCCACAAACAGGCCCCAAAGGGCTTATTGGGGGGTCCTTCACAGAGCCTGCTCAGAAATGGCCTCTATTTCATTCATAGCCACCACCAGCTAAGAAATGATCGCAACGTAGGGAAAATAGGCTGAATCAGCCTTCAGGACCAGACAAGCTGAAACAGCCCTGTCTGGCTTGTTATAGTACATTTTCACTATTTAATGCCTTGTTGATTTGCATCATTTAGAGAAAAAAGGCAGAGGCTGCAGAGAGAGAAGGCATCATGTAGACTTTCTCAACTGTTTCAGCCATGCTGTTTCATGTTCGACGTCCTTGGTACCCCAGCAAATTCCGAAAAGATGATTTAAAAACAAAAGGCGCATTAGCTAATATTGTAAAAGTGAGTGTTTGCAAAGGCTCATTAAAAGCTAGGCGCTGAAGCTAACATCGTAGCAGCAATTCTATTTCATTGCTAAACTACAGTAATTAAACCATAGCCACTCTGTGTTATTTAGCAAAGTAAATAATTACACTGTGCCCTAGAGGTTTATTCTTATATTTGCAGCGTCAATGAGAGCCCTGCTGCCGTCATGTCTACAAACCACTTTTTGTGAGTTGTTCACACCTCTCCAAATTTTTAACTATTTAATTTTTTTAATTAATGTTTTTATTATTGTAATATCACAATCCAAAGGTGCAGTAGTAGGGTATGGCATGGAAAGCCAGTGTAGTGGTTAGGGAGCCAGACTAGGACCTGGGACACCAGGGTTCATATTCCCACTCAGCCATGAATCTCACTGGGTGACCTTGGGCCAGTGACTCACTCTCTGCCTATCCTACCTCACAGGGTTGCTGCGAGGATAAAATATGCCGACCACCTTAAGCTCCTTGGAGCAAAGGTGGGATATAAATGTAATAAATAAAGACATCCCACATCATACCATATACAAAACAAAGAATAACAAAATGACACAAAATACATAATAAAATAAAGAACAAAGTCTAAAGCATAAGAAGTAAAATCCCACATGACATAAAAGCAAACCATTTATTTGTGTTAATCTTTCCTGCAGTAGCCAAAGTCCGTAAGTTCTTACACGACAAAGACAAGTGTAGATTGCTCAAGCTTTTGTGGCAATTAGAGACCTGCAGCGGATCTTGCACCAAAGAGTTGCCCCATTGTATCATTGGATGTTAATCCACTGAGTCCGTCTGTCTGGCCAGCAAAGACAATAAACGTTCCTTTGTTCTTCTCATGCAACAGCGTGGTATTTTCCTTTCAGCCTGTTAATTTGCAACAGTTTCAACAACTTTTAATAAGTACACTGGTACCTCAGGTTAAGTACTTAATTTGTTCTGGAGGTCCGTTCCTAACCTGAAACTGTTCTTAACCTGAAGCACCACTTTAGCTAATGGGGCCTCCTGCTGCTGCCGCACCGCCGGAGCACGATTTCTGTTCTTATCCTGAAGCAAAGTTCTTAATCTGAAGCACTATTTCTGGGTTAGCGGAGTCTGTAACCTGAAGCGTATGTAACTCGAGGTACCACTGTATAGGGAGTTATCTTATACCCACCAAGTTAGACCATTGAAAAAGCTCAGTATGGTCAATACAGTTTGGTGGCAGCTGTCCAGGGTTTCAGACAGGAGACATCGCCAGCCCTCCCTGGAGATTCTGGGACCTTCTGCATGCCAAGCAGATGCTCTGCTACTGAGCTACAGCCCTTCCCAAATAGCCCACTCTTCTTGGGTCGGAAACCAGAGCAGCTTCCACGGCATCCATTAAAGTCAAACGACAACAATCAAATCAAATGACAGAACGTGATAAAAACAGAAGAGCAGCATTTAAACAGCAGGCATTTAAAAGAAGTACCATAAAAAAAACAAGACAGCTGCAAATCACAATGGGGGAAAGAGGCACCCAAGCACAAAAGCAGGAGAGGAGAAAGAAAGAAAATGTTAGGCACACCTTGGCCCTGCCAAAGACACCCTCGAAAAGGCCAGGCCTGGACTTTGCATCTAAGAGCATGCAGCTCTTCACCCTCCCATACCAAATACACATCCATATAAAAAGGTTACTCTGAATTTCGGGACTTCCCCCCATCCCCTCCATAGGTCCTGTTGTCAACATTTCCAACTGCACATTATTTCGTAATCTATATTTTACATCTATCCATATTGTCCATTCTTAAGGAAATCAGCCCTGAGTGCTCACTGGAAGGACAGATCCTGAAGCTGGGGCTCCAATACTTTGGCCACCTCATGAGAAGAGAAGACTCCCTGGAAAAGACCCTGATGTTGGGAAGGGGATGACGGAGGACGAGATGGTGGGACAGTGTTCTCAAAGCTACCAGCATGAGTTTGACCAAACTGCGGGAGGCAGTGGAAGACAGGAGGGCCTGGAATGCTCTGGTCCAGGGGGTCACGACTAAACGATTAAACAACAGCATATTGTCCAAAGTATTTGCTACATTACAAGTGAGATTAAAATCCTGTTAATGTTTTCATCTGCTTACAGCGGTTGAATGCACATTTTTCTCATTGATGATGGAGGGGGCTGAGGTTGGGGGCTTGTCTCCTTTCCTGCTCTTCTAGATGTGGCAGCCTTTATGCCAAAACCCACAGTAGCCATTTTGTATTATGCCACACCCACATGGCAGCCATTTTCTGAAACACTTTCTCAACACCTCAAATACGCCTGATCCAAAAAGGTTGGCCACCCCTGATCTAGCACTTCACCTCAGGCAGCAAAACATCTTGGAATGACCAAGCTCCTTCAGAGTAGACTTCCACATATCACTTTTCACCGCCTGCGTTCTTTTTCGCTCCTTACTTCCCTCCCTCCCTCCCCACGGGCATTTAATTTACTCCAGCACAGCAGATGATTAGGTTATGCTTTATAGTGTGATGGCCATTGCAGAATGTCCACCACTGGGCTCTTTCGCAAGAGGCATTTAATTTTCCTAACGTAAATCGCTGTAGATGAAAAGAAACGGAAAAGGGAGGGAGGGCGAATCTTTCTTCAGTGCTATTGTGAGCGGAGAAGTAAATATTGTCACTCTTTCGACATGGCTAATTAGTTACTTCCCAAATCATTTGACTGCTTGCGACACTTTAAATTGCTTTTTGGACCTCCTGCATCTATATATAATAGACACAATGGCTTGGAGCGCTGGAGCCACATTGGAAAATTGACAACGTTGCAACTTGATAAATCAGGCAACTGAAAGGGGGAAGAAAAAAGAGCAACCCTTAGTTTAGTTAATGGAAAAGTGTGGGGCGGCCAGCTCTTTTGGTACCAACCACCTTATTTATTCAAGTGGAAATATTTCAGCCAGGATGAACAATTCATTCTTCCCATCCCTCGCAGCTAATTTATTTAGTGCAGTGGTGGAGAACCTCCAGCCCACAGGTCTAATTTGACCTGCAATACCATTTCCCATAAGCAATGCCAATGCCAGTTGCTCACAGTCTGCTGAGGGGCCCACGGCTGACCCCTGGAGCCTCCCAGCCCTGCTCCCTCCTCTTGCTGTTTCGGCCTGTTCACCTGCCCAGGCTGAGCAGCCAAGCAGTGAAAAGAGCGGTGACCCTGGAGCCGTTTAGTCCCAGCCATGCACTCTGCTCCACTCCTTGCGTTGTTTCGGCTGTATCACCTGCCCGGCTGAACACAAGCAGGGAGCACTTTTCATGAGGTGGAGTAGGAGCCAGTTCCGATCACCCAGTGGCACCACTTGCCTTCGTATTTGATCTCTGGAGTCCTGGGACTCCAAGAGTCTTCTCCAGCACCATAACGAAGGAGGGGCACATAAATGGACAGTGGGGGTGGAAGTAGGGAGATGGCAGGTCCACTCAGGGATGGGACCCACAAAAGGCATCTTGCCCAGGAGTTTTCCAAAGTCTGGAGCCAGGACTAGTTGTTCCTTTCTGTGCCTTAAGCGGGTGCCAAGGCCTGACCACACACACTCTCCTGGATGAGCCCCAGTCTGTGACATTCCCTGCTTAAAACTCTGGAATATTTTAAAAGTAGCAAACAATGAGTTTGCACTCTTAGCCAGCCAGGCCAGTGTTGGAGGGAGGTGCGAGTAGCTGTTCCAATCCTGCCAGCCCTAATAATAAAGAAATGTTCCCGAGCCAGTACCTGCTACCCAAGAAATACAGACTTCTCCTTTGTCTCAGCACCCAGGTCCTTGTGCAAGACGGCTGTGCAAATCCATTACATTGATGGCACTGTGGATCACCGTAACAGCAGGAGTCAGGTCGGCCCCGTAATGAGAATAGGCTTCCATCGATTGGCCTGGGGCTCCCTCTTAGACAATGTCATTTCAGCAGGTGCGTCTTTTAAATCTTGTGGCTTTTCTAGCAACGCTGTTCTGCCGGCAGCTAACCAGACCAAAACCTAGGACAGTTCTTATTTTATTTTTAAGACTGAAAGGTGATGAAATGTGGCAGTGCCAACATGGGGTGTGTGGATAGGCACCGCTGTGCCCTCTAGATATTGTCAGATTGCAGCACCCACAAATCTGTTAGCCATCCTGGCTGCCATAGTCCCACAATATCTAGAGGGTACCACATTGGCTAGCTCTGAGTTAAGGGTATTGCCTTAGGTCTGTGGAGACCCGGATGCAAATTCAGAATGCTAGTGTCAATAGAGTACGATCTGATCCAGCAGGGCTCTTCTTCTTTACCCTCCCCATCCCATCATTTTATTCTGTTGGCCGCAGTGTTCTATGGTACAGTGGTACTTTGGTTCACAGGAACGCAGGTGGTGCTGTGGTCTAAACCACAGAGCCTAGGACTTGCCGATCAGAAGGTCAGCAGTTCGAATCCCCACAACAGGGTGAGCTCCCATTGTTTGGTCCCTGCTCCTGCCCACCTAGCAGTTCGAAAGCACATCAAAGTGCAAGTAGATAAATAGGTACCGCTCCGGCGGGAAGGTAAATGGTGTTTCCGTGCGCTGCTCTGGTTCGCCAGAAGCGGCTTAGTCATGCTGGCCGCATGACCTGGAAGCTGTACGCCAGCTCCCTTGGCCTATAGAGTGAGATGAGCGCCGCAACCCCAGAGTTGTTCACAACTGGACCTAATGGTCAGGGATACCTTTACCTTTACCTTTACCTTGGTTTACAAACTTAATACATTCCGGAAGTCCGTTCTTAAACCAAAGCATTCTTAAACCAAGGCGTGCTTTTCCATAGCAGCTCACAAACCAAAGTTCACAAACCAAAACACCTACTTCCAGGTTTGCAGTGTTCTTCATCCAAGTTGTTAATAAACTAAGCAGTTCTTAAACCAAGGTACCACTGTACTAGCATAGAACATTATCGCAGAAATGTAGAGTTAGAAGGGACCCCCCAAAGGTCATCTAGTCCAACCCCTTGCACTGCAGGAATCTCAACTAGATCATCCCCGACAAATGGCCATCCAACCTCTGCTTAAAAACCTCCAAGGAAGGAAAGTCCTCCACCTTCCAAGGGAGTCTGTCAAACTGTCAAACAGCTCTTACTGCTGGAAAGTTCTTCCTGATGTTTAGCTGGAATCCCCCTTCTTGATGCATGTGTAATATCTGAAATATTGCCCCCTTCTCAGCAGATGCACTCAGATGTTAAGCTCAGCAGAGGAGGCCTTCTTGGTAGCTCCTCCAGCCCACAGAAATTCGGGGGGGGGGGTTGGCCCAGGAGAGGGCATTCTCTGTGGCAGCTCCGAGGTGGTGGACTTCCCACAGAGGAATGTCCAGCACAGTTTCCATCACAGACTGAAGACGCACACCTCTTTACCATGGTCTTTGGCACCTGAGATATATGCTTTCAGGACCCAACCTGTTCTTGTGACTGGAATTTGTTTTAAGCTGTTTTTAATACTGAATTTCAGATCCCTGGGATCTGATGGCAAAGGGCAAATAATGAACTGAAATAACAGTAACAATATCAATGATGGTGATGATGATCAATCTTCAATGGGCCCAATTCAGAAGACACCTTCAAGCACAAGGCAGCTTCTCCCCCTTCCCCAACATCTCCCCAAAATCTGCTCTGGAGGGTAAGGAGAAGTGCCCTCCCCAAAAGCATGCAGGAAAGGGAGAGGGGAAATTGCTTTGTCTGGAAGGCAAAATGTCTTGCACCTACAAAATAACTGAATTAGTGTGATGCTGTAATTCCACCCAATATCACCATGGTCAGGCTTTAGAATAGTAAGGACCATAAGCCCTGAGCACAAGGCAGGACATGAACCTGGAACAAAAGAGTAAGGCTGTCCAACTTGAGAGTCCAGAGGAGAAATGATCTTTCTGGCTGACCCTCAATACAGCAAGGATGGGCAACCTGTGACACTTTAGGAGTTGGCCTCCTTCTCCTGTCAGCCCCAAGCCAAGCCAGCATGGCTGGTGGTCAGGAATGATGGGAGTTGTAGTCCAATGACATCTGGAAGGCCACAGAGCCTTCCACCCCGGCACAGAGCCAATATGGAGCAAATTAAGCCACTATTCCTGACCCTTAAAGGGCCTTGGCAATTATCAGCCACTGATATACACCAGCATTCCCGGAAAGCCAACCTTTTTTTTTTTAATGAACAGAAATAAAAAGCTCTCATTAAGTAGAATCTGGCAGGGTTTTCAGCTAAGTGCTGTAGAAGACCAGAGAGTTCAGTCAGCAGAGTGCCAACAAGGTAAGTAAAGGTGCCTTGCTCACCTGCTGGAGTTCTTTGATAAAGGTTAACCAACCTGTAAGACTAAGGTGGAGCATACATTTTCATAACCCTTTTTAATATCATCACCATTTCCCACGGCAGAGCAAAGGGGTGACGACTGGGTCAGCAATGCAGCAATTTGAAAGGGTGGCAGTGGAAACGGCAATGAAAATGAAAGCTTCCTTTGCCTTCTTAACTTGACCTTCCAGGTTTTCCCTGGAACAATTTGCCAGCTGGTAGTTAAGAGAAGTACAGTCATCATAGATGATCTCCCTCCTTATAAAATATCAGACAGTATATAGATATGAAGATTCACAATATATGTGCTGGAATCCAGAACAACCTAGGAAGGTACCCTCCACCAGGTCAGATTTTCCTCCAGGATACAGGATACATGCATGGCCATCCACATGTGAAGGTTTCCACATTTCAAACAGCCCCATGGCCATTTCCTGAGCACTTTGCCCCTTCTTGCAAGTAACTCGCAAAAGGAGCTTAAGAAGCACTGCTGTTGAGCAGGGATGGGAACCTGTGGCTCTCCAGTTGTGGTCCCTCTTCGTTGGCTATTCTGACTGGGGCTGATGGGAGTTGGAGTCCAGTGACATGTGGGGGCCACAGGTTTCCCCATTTTTGCTGCAGAGTTCTTAGGAGGTCTAAAATTATCACCCAGGCAAGTGTTGGCAGGGACAATGTCATGAGCCAGGGAATCAGCTTCACCTGCTGAGCAGCAGCCTGAAAGAGCAGAAGGCGCAGTGACTCCACTTGCTGCTGACTAGCCTTCTTGCTCCTGATGAGAACCAGCTGGCTCCAGCTTTCTTAAGCAGGGTTTCCAGTCTGGAAACAACATTTGTCCTTCCTGACCTTCCTGCTTCTTGAGCCCTTGGACCCTCGGCTTTCTTGACCCCTGATTTGTCTGACTATGTGAACTGAGATACTCCTGACCTTAGGACTGGACTGGACCTTGTATACAGACTAGTTTTCAAATGTTTGTAAAAGATTCTGACTCAAAGGGAAGGTTTTCCCACACTCCGGATCTTTTGAAAAGCAGCAGCTTCCCAGCCCTGCAAATTTGTCCCTCCTCCCTCTCCTGCAATGTGTCATCTTCATTTGCATCTGTCACATTATTCACTAGGACACACTTGTTTACTGCCTAAGTGATGGAATTGAAGGAGTCGGTACAGCCAGGTGTGCTGAAAACAAAAATCAACATAATCAGGAGGCTTGGAAAATTGCTTTTAATTGTGTGTTTACACAGGCAATTCTCCAAAATTATTTGGGCCGGGAGGCTACAGATTCCATACTGTCAGATAACCCATATAAAACCCCTCATTTATCCAGAGATGGGGAATGGGTGAATATTTAACCACACTTTAAACCTAAATGTAATATTGCACTGGATAGCTTATTTAGGTAGGGAATGGATCCAGCTGGAAATTAAACATTTAGAACACCTCTAGAGGCATAGCTCTTGCAGCACCTGGAAGACCTAACAGAATAAATTTGTGAGTCTGCAAGTTGCCACAAGACCCCTTGTTGTTGCAACATCTCAACTATCTTGTAGGGCTGTTTACAGTCCCCTATCACCCGAACTGACATGAGCCAACCCAAGGAACATGTCCCAGCCCTGATCCAGCCCCAAAGCTACTTGGAGGCAGGGCTAATGTGTAATTAGGTTTTCCTCAACCTGACTCTGCCCTAGCCAGGATCCCCCATATAGGCTTGATTCAGCTCAGTTATTCAGGCTTTGCCCAAATCCAGGGCACTGACCTATGTCTCCACCTGCATGTCTTCTTCCATGACTCGACAGCAAGGAGAAGGTAGAGTTTTTCAACCTGAAAGCCACATTCCCTCTGGGCACATGCCAGGGGTGGATGAGGCCGGGGGCACAGCAGTGAATGTAAATTATACCTTTGTAAAAGGCTGGTTGCTACATACACTCTTCCCTGTCTTTCACCCAAACAGGCAAGGATCATCACCGGAGGGCAGGGATGCATTCCAGTGGCATAATGGGTGTGAAACAAGACAGGTAAGGGGTGTGGCCTGTGTAGAGGAGGTGTGCCTTGCAGGGGCCCAAGGGCCAGATAGAGAGTCCTGGAGGTCCACATTTGGCGCCCAGGCCTGAGGTTCCCCATTGCTGCATTATAGTTCAGGGTCATCCAGTCAGCAGAGGATTTCAGTACAAACCAAAGTTCTACTTCATGAAGGATTTGCAGGAATTGCTGCCACAAGATGCAGTGACAGCTGCTAGCTTAGAAGGGTTTAGAATGGGATTTGACAAAAGCTGCTTCTGGTTGCTAGTCCTCATGGCTACAGATAATCTCCAGGCTCACTCAGCAGTAGCTTCTGGGAGCAACATCAGAAGTTGGCGATTACCTTCCTGCACTGCTTGTGGGCTTCACAGAGACATCTGGCTGGCCATCATTGGGATGTACCCTTCTCTCCCCCTTCCTCTTCTGTTCTGGAAGTCTCCCTCTTTGTGTGCCTGCCCTCAACCTGTTATGCTGCAGTCCTATACAGAAGTAAGCTCCATTGGGTTCAATGGGCTTTCCTCCCAGGTAGCCTTCTCTAACATGGTGCCTTCAAGATGCTTTGGACTAACAGCTCCCATCAACCCCAGCCAGCATGGCCTCTGGTCAGGAATGATGGGAGTTGCAGTCCCACAACTAGAGGACATCAGGTTGGGAGAAGGCTGGAGTATACAATTGCAGCATTAATCACTTTCCCCTTACCTACCCATGGCCAACTGAAGGCCTTTGATGAAAAAAGAATTGCTAATAAGAAATTTCATTTAATGGTCATCAGCCAAGAGCCAGCAGAGGTCTTGGGTCAGCATGAGACTCATTATGAGCAGAGTGAGATTCTGTATCCTGTGTGGAATGAGTTATTGATTTTATCCAACCCATAAAGGGCATCTCTTTCTGGAATACATATCACCACGTCTGGCATCCTATAGCCGAAAACCACAACCAGGCCTTGCATTGCTGAATCCTTGTTCTCCACCCAAACCCCACACCAGCTTCTAGATATAATTTGCTAACATCTTAAAACTTTTCCCAGCACACATTTTGTCACACTTGAATGGCATAAATATGAAATGATGGTGCAGGAACAGTAGCCAGCCTGGTCATATGTGTCCAAGAAATGCTGTTTCCAATGGCCAAGAATGGAGCTTTCCCAAGGAGATATTCCCACACATCCTGGAAGACTACTGACATCATCCAGCCTCACTTGGGGTCTGTTACTGGTGACTATGGCTGATTTTAAAGAGATGCACCCAGAGGCAAAGCAGAAGAAATGGTCTAATTTGTAACAAGTCCACAAAACTCTTAACTGCAATTCTAATGGGTCAGTCATAATCAGCAAGGGAATCCATGAGTTGTGAGTTCAATCTTAGTCCTTCCCAGTGTACACCCACTGAAATTTATGGAGATGACCAGCTTAGCTCTATCCATTTCAGTGGGTCTACTCTGAGCATAACTAGTTGGACAAAAAAGACCCACATGTCTTGACCTCTAGGCAGAGCTAGAGGCAAAAGCTGGCAGAGCAATGAATGTAAATTTGACCTTTGTATAGCAATCTAAGTTTCAGTGCACACATGCACCCCTCCAGGGAAACAAGAAGCGTGACTAGGGTGCAAGGACCTATTCCAGACAGGCAAAATTAACTGAAAGGGGGTGTAAATTGGGGTGGGTGAAGGGTGTGGCCTAGGAAAGGGATGCAGTCTGAGGAAAGTCCCAAGGGCTAAACAGAAAGGACCAGAGGGCTAAGTGTGAGCCCTGGGCCTGTGGTTCCCTGTGCCTTCTTTAAGAATTCATGCTTCACATCTGGAAGGGTAAGACAGTCTCCAACTTGGTTGGGGCAAGCTGGGCACTTGTAGCTATCCAAGGTTCTGAGCTGTGCTTTGTGGCTTCATGATAAGGACAGATCACAAGAGGCTTGATGTTCTAGTTTTCACAAAGCAGCATACTGCTTTGCACGCTCTCTCGCTCTCTCTTGCTCTTTCTCATACAGACACACACTGCTTGGGCTACTTTAAAGTGTAGCTGCAGAGCTTTCCACATTGTGTGTTGCGACACATTAATGTGTCAGCTGCAGTGTGTAGGTGTGTCGCGTGAACACTCCCCTTGCTCTTCCCGGGGTTGGAAAGGGGTTAGTTTAATCTCTGGTTTGCTAGTAAAACAGAATTACTGTTTTAGGAGTTTACTGTTTAGGAGTCCTAAATAATAAAATCTTGTAAAACAAGGAAGGGGAGCCTATGGCTCTCTGAGCAAGAACCCTGCTAGATTAGGTCAGTAGCCAATCTAGTTACTGTATTTTTTGCTCCATAAAACACACTTTTTTCCTCCTAAAAAGTAAGGGGAAATGTCTGTGCGTCTTATGGAGTGAATGTGTGGTCAATCACTGGCTCCCTTTCTGGTCCTGCCCCCTTGCCCAGGCCTCCATTGTTCAATTGTTCTGCAGATGGAGGCTGTTTGTTCCCCAGCGACATGTGAATGGCTGATTAGATTATCTGTCTGGAAACTGTAGAAACGGCTCCCTTTCCTTTCCTAACGAAGCTGAGAACTGTGAGTTGAACCCCATAAAAACAGAATTTTTTTCCCTTTCCAAAGTAAGCTCAACAACTTTAAGCCGATCCTCAAAAAAGGGGGCTTTTCCCCTTTGCAAAAGAAGCTGCACAACTGTGAGCTGATCCCCCCAAAAAACGGGGCTTTCTCCCTTTCCTCCTTTAAAAACTAGGTGTGTCTTATGGAGCGAAAAATACGGTAAGTATCCTGTGCTCACAGAATCCAACCAAATGCCTACGGAAGCACCCAAGCAGGACCTGAGCTTCACAATCCCCCTCCCCTCCTGTGGCCTCCAGCAACTGCCATTTAGAACCACACTGCCTCCAACCAAGGAAGCAGACCATAGCCTTCAGGGTGAGCCTCCATAAACGTTCCTAATCCTCTTTTACAACCATGCAAATTGGTGGCCGTTACTGCTAGTTTCATACCTCAACTAAGTGTTGTGTGAAGAACTCCCTTCCTTTGTCTGTCCCGAATCTCCCAATATTCAGCATCATTGGGTGTCTCTGAGCTCTAATGTTGTGAGGGAGAAAAACTTTTCTCCATACTACATACACTGGCCATTGCCCTAGGGGTGATTGGGTCGGAATCCAGCAATGTCTGTAGGGCCACAGATGCTCCACCTGTGCTCTAAACCATGAAACCCCTCAAATTTCCCATGGCTCAGAGAAAGCCAGAAACCAGTTGATTAAATTGGTCTGTGATATTTATGCTCTCATCCCCCCCCATACTGCTTGCACCTTAACTTCATTCAGAGCAGGAAATCTCCTATTTGAATAATTTATATCCCTGAGGAAGAAGGGGGGGGGTTTGAAATTTTATTCTAGCTGTGGCTACCAGGTTCACTGAGGGGTGAAGTAAAAGCAGTGCACACACACACACACACACACAACATTTATTGTACTGGAAGCCTCTACTGTTCACATTGGCTTGGCTCCCAGTTCTGAGTGATTAGAATAAACCATAGAAATATTAATTAACGGTGCCAGGATTGCAGGACTAATAGTGTTTGTGTTAATGGGGTGTTAACAAATTGAAAGCTGCGGCATCACGCTCAGCTCGGGAGAAGCAGCCTCTCCACAGTACCTTGGATTGATGGAGGAAATCAAACATATGCTTTTACAGGGTGGGGAGGATAGGGCTGTTTCGGAAGAGGGATAAAGCAAGCCAAACAAAACTGCAAAGAAGCAACTTGCTGGCTCTCAAAGTATACAAAGGGCCTGCAGTTGCTCTTTCAAGAGCTCCCCTGTCAAAACATTTGCCTGCTATTTCCATTTTGTGAGGATTCAGATGAAACTATTCACCATTTGAGGGTAAGTTTTGAATCAGCCCTGCCAACCTAGCAGTTCGAAAGCACGAAGTGCATGTAGATTCCTCTGGCGGGAAGGTAAACAGTGTTTCCATGCGCTGTTTTGGTTTGCCAGAAGCGGCTTAGTCATGCTGGCCACATGACCCAGAAGCTGTATGCCGGCTCCCTCGAACAATAAAGCAAGATGAGCGCTGCAATCCCAGAGTCATCCGTGACTGAACCTAATGGTCAGGGGTCCCTTTACCTTTACCTTTTGCATCAGCACTGGAGAAAGAAAACCTTCCCTTTCTCAGCAATTGTTTTGGCACTGCTTGCAAAAATCACCAGTTTGTCCACATTGACCTCTTTCTCTCTAGATGACTTCTTTATTCAGCCTTCATCCTGACTTGCTCACATGGTGGTTATAGACTGTGAGCTCCTCCAGATGGGTGGGTTTTTTTGGGGGGGGATATTCTGTAACATGTCACTGATGCAATAATAGCACATTATTGATGCATTTATACTGGACAAGCTAAGCAAATCCATATTCTGACCATCGCTACTTGGAACAGCCTAGTATGCCTTTGCAGCTGGAATCTTACTGTGGGGAGAGATGCACTTGACCGGTGGGGGATGTTATAGAATATTGAGTCCTGGTTCCTGTAATTCTTAGAATTCGACCCAGCAGTTTTCCTGGTGGGTCTAGCATACCAGAGTCAGGAGCACTTCAGACCAAGGACACAAGGTCTCTCTCTACACAAGGTAGGCATGGTCAGGCAGTCATGAAAGATTGTGCTAAGTCTTACTCCAAGTCACAAGTGGAGAACCAGTGCCCCTCCAGATGTTGCTGGACTCCAGCTCCAATCAGAACTGGCCAGGATGACAAATTGTTCAGGGATCATAGGAGAGCTGCAATCTAGCAGTATCTGGAGGTCTGTTTTCCCATCGCTGTTATAAGTACTTGTTGACACTAGAGTAAAAGGTAAAGGGCCAGCCATTAGGCCCAGTCGTGGCCAACTCTGGGGTTGCAGTGCTCATCTCACTTTATTGGCCAAGGGAGCCGGCGTACAGCTTCTGGGTCATGTGGCCAGCATGACTAAGCCGCTTCTGGCAAAACCAGAGCAGCGCACGGAAATGCCGTTTACCTTCCCGCCGGAGTGGTACCTATTTATCTACTTGCACTTTGACGTGCTTTTGAACTGCTAGGTTGGCAGGAGCAGGGACCGAGCAACAGGAGCTCACCCCGTCACGGGGATTCGAACCGCCAACCTTCTGATTGGCAAGTCCTAGGCTCTGTGGTTTAACCCACAGCGCCACCCGTGTCCCTCCATACTCTGCACCTTCAACTACATGAATAATCCTGCAGTTCCTCATTGGAAGAGTCTGATCCTTCAGCCTCGGGGCAGAGTCAGTGGCTAACCTTCTCCCGATGACAGCCTGCAGAATCTTCTTCCAGATCCCATGCCGACTTCAGGATCCCTAAGGCAGCACCCTTAGATACCACCCCCTCCCTCTTGTCCTGGAATCCCTTTCCATGGAGTCTAAGGGTCCAATGCACGGCACCGGCTTAACTTTCTGCTTCCTGTTTGCCCCTCCATTCTGATGGTACTCCAGAAGAGATGCCCACATCCTGGCCTCTGCTACCTGCCCATTCCGCCAAGGTCGGAAACAGCCTGAAGCCCTGGAACCTGAGCTGGTGCAATTAAGATTTGCTGAGCCCTGCAAGTCGAAGCAGGTAGCTGAGAAGAGAGAAAGTGCACACGGGAGAAGGCGAGAAACTGACTGAATACAGGCGGCAGCATGAGCAGCAGAAAAAGAGCCGTTTTCATTCATTTGGTCCAAAAGATATGTGGAGAAAGTGGCTCATGCTGACATTGAGAAATGAAAGACGTGCGCTAAAAATACACTTGCGGTGCCGTCGCTTTCTTGCAAGGAGCGCCAATTGGATCCTTCTTTCAATGCAGGCTATTTTTTATTTTCTTTATTCATCTTTTCCTTTCTTTTCTTAACCTGAAGCCTCCAAGGGTGTTCCTACACTTAAAAACAATTAGTGGACAAAGGAAATGGAAATGCACAAAGTGGCTCCTCTATGGCAAAAAATTAAAGACGGGGTGAGGGACCAGTGGCCCTCAATATATTCTTGGTCTTCAACTCCCATAAGACCTGGACAGACTGTCAGGAATAGAGAGTGGAGTTTGTGTTTTTATTATGCACTGGAGTAATAAAGTACAATATAATGCTGAAACATATACTTTATTAGGAACTTTGTGGTGATTTAAAAAAGCATGGTGATGAGTCTTGATTCCCAGTCATAATGTATTTATTTACTCTTTGGTGAAGTTGGTTGTTTAGAATTTCTTTTCCTAATAAGTAACAGATAGTACTATAAAGATGATATCTTGTTTTCTAGGTGTGTTTATATATCTATGGTTATCTATCAAGTTACAGTATATTTCTGCTTGAGACTTATGCACTCATGTCTAAGTTAATAAAATACAATTTTAAAAAATAAATTGGATGTTTCAATATTTAGCAAATAATCCCGAGGCAATAAATCCCTGTACAAATGATAACTGAGTTTGCTCAGTGGCTGCAAAATGAAGACTGGGTGATTTATGGGGGGGGGGGAATGGGGTACTTGGAACCCTGAACACTGTAACTCTTTGATGCAGCTCAAATTTCTTCCTTCAGACTGTCTGGCCCAGGGTGGTTATGCCTGTCTCTGGGAGTTTTTGCGAGTGTCCAAGGGCAGTGTGTTCTGTTTCCATTGAGAAGTTAAACAGAGGAAAGAAATAACACTGTTAAGTTCCTTGGGCAAGGGGGAGAATGTCTCTAACGCAGACGATCCAAGCCCCACCAGAATCTAATCAACCACTCTCAGCAGGAAGAAAGAAGTACCACTTAAATGATATGACAGGCTGACATATAATCATGGCTGAAGGAGAATTACAGTTCAGTGCTGCCACATAAGGCTGGTTCATCGCTGCTGGAGTTTCCAGCAGAAGGGCGGGGAAAAGAAGAATAACCACGTAACCAAAACACAAGAGTCAAATGATTTAAGTAGCTAAACCAGGGGTCAGCAAAGTTTTTCAGCAGGGGGGCGGTCCACTGTCCCTCAGACCTTGTGGGGGGGGCCAGACTATATGGGGGAGGGATGAATGATTTTCGCCCACCCGCAAAGAGGCCTGAAGATGCTTCGCTTTGCATGTCCCAGTTGTCGTCCCAGTAGCCACAGTTGGGCTTCTCCAGCCAGTCAGGCGCCATGGCGGGGTAAGAGGCTGCATTGGCAGGTGAAGACAGAAGCAGCAGCCCCGGTGGAGGAGCCACGGATGGAAGCAGATGAACTGGGGCGGCGCCAGAGCTTTTGCCCACCTCCTGCTGCAGCTTCCTGTGAAGAAGAAGACAGAGCCACCCGCCAACCCGCAAGCAGCGGCTGCAGCCACCACAATGACCAGCCTGAACACCATGGGAGGAACAAAGGAGGGAGGGAGGGAGGCAGGGGACGCAAAGAAAGCACGCGAGGAAGTGGCACGGAAAAGGGGCGCAGAGAAGGAAGGAAGGGTGGACTGAGGGAGAGGGAGGAGGAGCAGGAGGAAAACGCAGCAACAGCCCGCGTCACACACCCCCTTAACAGCGCCGCCCTCCTGAGGCGGGCAGGCAGGCGGGCGAGCCAACTCCCACCGTCGATGGCACTCAGCATGGGACAAGATTGCTCCGTCCCTCAGGAGAAAAGCGCTGCCGTGTGAGGGAGAGGGAAAGAACACACGCTCTGGTGATCCACGCACTGGCGATCCACGCAGCGATTCCCGGACCGTCCCCAGGCCAGATCTAGGAGGCAATTGGGCCTGATCCAGCCTGCGGTCCTTAGTTTGCCGACCCATGAGTTAGAATCATAGAGTTGGAATAGACCACAAGGGCCATCGAGTCCAACCCCCTGCCAAGCAGGAAACACCATCAGAGCACTCCTGACATATGGTTGTCAAGCCTCTACTTAAAGACCTCCAAAGAAGGAGACTCCACCACACTCCTTGGCAGCAAATTCCACTGTTGAACAGCTCTTACTGTCAAACCTTTGGTGGTGTGTATGGGCTGTGCAATGGGTTCAGACAAGGCCCAAGCCAGATGGGGCCTATTCAGAGGCATCAGTCAACTCAGGTTGAGACTCCAGTTGCTACTGGTTAGGTTTGATGGTGCAGAGTGATCTGGACTGTCAAGGAGATGGGCACCAGGCAGGATAACCTATGAAAAGGCCAAGGCCTCCCTAACCAGTGGCTGCGTTTTCCCAGGAGCAGGTAGGAGCCTAACACTGCCTGACTGTCTTTCCCACAGAGAGGCCACTTTCAAAGGAGCACCCTGCAGAATTGAACCCCCTGCTGTCAGTTGGTGGGCAGGGCTAAGGGACGCAGCGCCTGATTAAACATTGGGCACTACACCTGAGCTAAATTTAAGGCTGGATCTGAGGCACTGTGGTGGGTTCCCAAGCTGGCCCAGGGTGGATCAGCCTGGCTGAACTATTAGGCTGGAATCATGTGGCAGATTGGGGACAGATGGAGAATTGATAGAGAGGTAGATGATGGACCTTTAATTCTATACACGTAGATTTAGATTAAACTGCAATAATTTACTATGGTGGTTTTTATTTTAATTTATTACCTGCCATTCATTGTAAGGTCCCAGGGTGGCTTACAGCAATTAAAAAAAAACAGCTTAAGACAAATTGCAATTGCAAGAATGGGGTGTCTTCTAAAATATATATCTCTTTGGTGTCAAAGGCCAGGTGTGAGCAGGTACATCTTCAACATACAATGGAAGCAACATAAGGAAGATGCCCCACGACTCAAAGATTCCACGACTCAAAGAAATATTTAGAATAAAAATAAATATTTTAAACCTCTTATAAGAACTGTATAAATAGAATAGAAAATTAATATTAATCCTTTATTATCTCAGCAGCAAAAAATCAAATTGAGCTTTTTTTTTTTTGCTTCATATAACTGACAAAGGGGTAGTGTGTCTTTTCAAACTGCTCTTTTCCATCTCTTAATTTCGCTAACTCTGGACGTTCAGTCTCCACAACAAACTACACACTGTGCCGAACTGTTCTCTTTCAGTTGCCCCTCTTTTTTGGCAGGAATAGAAGGAAATGAGTTGGGGTTTTTTTAATAAAACAAAACGAAAACTAATCTGAAACAATTTAGAACCTTGGAATCAACCAGAAACATATCCTGCAATTTCAGCTCCTGTTAACCTGCTCCTCCTGCAGCTTCTCTGAGACAAGTGCATGTGTGCGCCTGGCCTCAGGGCAGCAAAACAACGCAAAAGAGTAATTAAGAATGAAAACTGCTGGTAATTGTGCACCAGCCACACAGAGCAGGAACATGCAAACATAAAAACATGTAGTGTTGTTTACAAGGGCTCCAAATGACAACGATCTACATCACTCACGCAAGGCTTCACAATCAAGCTGTGCCGACATACAGTGAAATTTTGGAACAAGAAGGAGACAAACTGAAATTGCAGAGTTTTGAAAAATTAAAAAACAAAGTGAGAGATTGGCTTCATTATTATCAGATAATGGAGACATATAATTTGGATAAGAAAATTGGCTTCCAGGTGGAAAAGTCAAAATTAGAAACGGAACTGTTAGAACCCAAAACTAAGAACTTGTCAAGAATGTATAATTTGCTGTTGAAATGGAATACTCAGGATGAAACAGTGAAATCTGTTATGATTAAATGGGCACAGGATGTTGGACATAATATTATGTTTGCTGACTGGGAACAGTTATGGACCACAGGTATGAAGTTTACGGCATGTAATGCCTTAAGAGAGAATATTATGAAAATGATTAATAGGTGGTACATGACCCCAGTCAAGCTTGCAAAAATCTATCATTTGCCCGATAATAAATGTTGGAAATGTAAAGAAACTGAAGGTACATTCTTTCACCTTTGGTGGACGTGCCCAAAGATTAAGGCTTTCTGGGAAATGATATATAATGAAATGAAAAGGGTATTTAAATATACCTTCTTGAAGAAACCAGAGGCCTTTCTCCTGGGCATTGTCGGCCAATTGGTGCCAAAGAAGGATAGAACTTTTTTTATGTATGCAACAACATACATAACAAGAATACTCATTGCAAAGTACTGGAAGACACAAGAACTACCCACCCTAGAAGAATGGCAGATGAAGGTGATTGACTACATGGAATTGGCAGAAATGACTGGCAGAATCCGAGATCAGGGAGAAGAGTCAGTGAAAGAAGACTGGAAGAAATTTTAAGGCTATTTACAGAAATATTGTAAAATTAATGAATGTTAGAAGGATGTTGGTAAGAAACTAAGCGGTTTCCAGCTGTAATGCTTTAAGAGTTATGAAAAAAAGGGGGGTTACAAATGGGTAAAGTTTAATGGTAAGGATTTGCTGAACTAACAAATTGAACTGGAATACAAAGAAGGGAGGTATGAGGAGGTCCGGGGAAATAAGTGTAAGGAAGTTATGTTATGGAAAATTAATGTATTTTTAACTATTTTTATTTTGTATGTTTCTTTTTATTTTTCACTTTTTTGTTATACCTTAAAAACTCTTAATAAATATCTTCTTTAAAAAAAACAACACAATCAAGCTGTGATCAGGAGGGGGCTTTCTTTTCCCCCAGGCCTTTCATTTACCTCCAGAAAAGAGGCATTGCAAAACAGAGCCCCTGC